AAAAAAAACTATTTGAAAGAATTAATCATTTCCTCAACTAAATACCATCTTTAAATAAAGTCAATTCGTCAAGAACTTTCTCTCATATATTTAAATAATTGTAAAATAATTAATTTTAACTTTTGTACTGCGACTTTCTGTCCGTTTACCAATACTTATTCCTTGTTAAGTTTTTTTCATATCCATTTACGCATACTTATAATGTGATAATTTTACGGATGCTTTTTATCCTATTTTCATATCAAACAACCATGTTACCCGTAGAACGGAGTTAAGTACAAATTTAGGAATTTAGTACTTAAAATTTTCAACAACAAAATTTTACACTTTCATTTACCTGGATTTTTTTCTACGCTTCGAAGCCGCCACCCTGTATCACACATAGCCAACACTCGCATGACGTATTCACGATGTTGAGGGATTGACAATATGCAATCAAAGTTAGCAATATACAGCAAGTAAGTAATTGGGTGTTGAATGCCAGTAGATCTGAATTTGCAAATTTGTAAATTGAATTCAACCTGTTTAGAACGTGTATTGTTGAATTGTTTAATAAAATTACACACATAATCTGGGCTGATATGCATAAAACCACTTTAAGTTCAAGGTATCAATGAAACTGGGTCTGCATGAAAAAATGACTTATCACATAGTACCAGAACCTATGTTTACTGTTAGATGATAAGAAAATATAGCTGTAGGCCTAGTTGAAAATCTTTACAAATTATTTATTCTTTAAATTTCTATTTGACTGTCTGGTTGCTTCTTATGTGTTTTAAATGTTTGCGTTTTGTATGCTATAATTAAGTTTTATAGACTGTTGTACGTCATTTGATCGTTTTTAAGTTTTTGACATGGAGTTGTCAGTATGTCTTCGACTTATAAGTTTTATATAATCTGCATCTCTTGTGCTGTATTTTAAAATGTATCTACACAAGTGCTGCATGATCTTTACACATTCATCAATACACCTAAAAATATGAATAAAGCTTTCGTATATATAAAAAATAAGGAGATGTGGTATGATTGGTAATGAAACAACTATCCGCCAGTTCAATTCAAAAACCTGATATAAGCAAATGTGACTTACTTACTTACTTTAGTCAGAGAGATCTTGAATCTGAAGGATTTTGAATGAGGAAAGAGAGAAATGAGCAAAAAGTGTAAGTTTATAGAAATATAGCTAAAACAAATAAAGAACACAGAAAAAGAAGACCCCCCCCCCAAAAAAAAAAAGATCCTGACTTCAACTTTAACGCTGCCGGGATATTTTGAGACAAAGTGCACGTATTAGTAGTCAGCCGAAACCACTACTGAAGCGTTTCGCATCCATACTTTTTTTTTCGGGATACTGACTGCATAGTAAATTATCAATGTACTAGTTAATGCTCTCGAGTGATGACCCTATTACAGAGACATGTCTCTGCCCTATTACGTGTCAGTAACCTCCTCGATACGGTTCATATTACGGCGGCTCATTTTTGTCTTAAGAATAAACATAATTGATAAGTTTCTTTCCCCTGCATTCCTCGATCGCACTTGTAAATAGCACATTGGTCTCAAGACATTGGTACACTGTACGTTACAACACTTGCCGTCAGTACTCAAAATTGGAAAAATATTAAATAAGAAGGTATAGAAAATTAATGCACACACACTATTATCAACGGAAGCAAGTTAACTCGTACCATTGTAAACTCGTACCACGTAAACTCGTACCAAAAAAGTTAACTCGTACCAACGTAAACTCGTACCACTGGGAAGTCGTACCAATCAGAACTCGTACCTCTGCAAACTCGTACCATTAAAAATATATTCAAAACGAATGTTTTATGATTTTTTTTTTGGTAAACTTAATAAAAAAAGTTGAAATACTTGAATTTTATACTAGATTTTAATGAAAACTTAGACAAAAATACGAATGTTTTATGATTATTTTTTTTAAGCTTTATACAAAAAATTAAAATATCTTTGAATTTCATACCAGATTTTAATGAAAACTTAGACAAAAATCAACTTGTTTAATCATATTATTAGATTTTGATTGTTGTTATATAATTTAACAGCTTGGAATTAAATGTATAATGTTTATTATTAAATGAAATTCCTGATCATCAAAACATAAGCTGACATGAGTTGTCTCAAAGCCCACTTTCCTCATAAAATGGGGCATGTTTGTGAGGTTCCTCATAACCAAAATGGAAGACGACAATTGTATATGGTGCCACTCTCTGGTTAGACCCCGACAAGAAGCAATAGAGTGTGATGTATGTTCTAAATGGCAACACAGAAAGTGCGGAAATATAGGTAGCTACAAATTGGTCATTATAATTTCAAATTATATACATTTTACAGACTTAAGAGGTATTGAGTGAAATTAAAGTATATATTCATCATTAAACACCATTTGAATGCATTTAAATAAGTTGGTACGATCGAGTTTACAATGGTATGAATTTACCGTGGTACGAGTTAGCAGTGGTACGAGTTTGCATTGGTACGAGTTTTTTTTAGTGGTACGAGTTGACATTGGTACGAGTTTACAATGGTACGAGATAACTATAATTCTTATCAACCACAGACATGGTGTTTTTCTCAATTTGGCTAAATCGTTATTCCGCAATACAACGAGGGTGATGAAAACCCACCACTTTGAACACGGGCACCGGCATGCTGTGAATTTGAAAGTTTCCAAAATTAGTAACTATCCCTTACTTTTCATGCTTTTCTAGTGTAAAGTTTTATTTAATACACATTTTATTTGAAATGGCATATCAGAGAGATATATAAACATATATCATAGGCTGATCCAAATGGGGGGGGGGGGGGGGGGGGCCTTTGGAAAAATTTGATTGATTTTTTAGAGAATCACTAAAGCATGACTGGAGCCGGCCCTCCCTTATGAAAAGTTCTTGATCCGCTAAATGAGAAAAACTCCAGAAATTGTTTTCAATTAAGATAATTACATGCATTTTATAATGGTTTTTAGTTGTTTTTAAAGCAGAGGCGGATTGGGTGGGGGTTGACAGGAGTTCGGGGCCCCCTTTTCTTGAAAAAAATTGGTTGATTATATAGGGAATCACTGAAGCATGACAGGAGCCGGCCCCTCTTAGGCAATCACTTATGAAAATTTCTGGATCCACCACTGTAAAATCGTCTTCAGTTGTATTATATTAAAAATTTTATACCTGTATTCTATAGTACAAATCAAAGGAAAATAATGTTAATTATCTGGTAGTAGCAATACAATATAAATATTGAGCAAAATTTCTACAAACTTTACCATACTCTATTCAAAAATAAACATTATACATCAAGATAACAAAATAAAATTTAAAATCAGGGCGAATGGACGCAGGGCAAACAGATATTAACTTATTCAGGCTAACAAGTAATTAAGGTTGAATGTGAATCAGGGCGAACGGACCTAGATCTAAACTCCAGTAGGGTAACTCCTATAGGTCAAAAGTTCATGTTTATAAATTTCATCAGGTCACCAGTACCTCACTAATAAAAATGAAACAACTTGTTACAGACAATTTACATCTTTAATTTCAGCATAATTTTGGTTTTTGTTATGAATATCTTCTACATTTTTGGATAAATACTCATTATCCGGCAAATTCCAAGTTGAACCTTCTTCAGTAGGTCTATCCCCACCAGAAACCAAATGATGCACAAGTTAGGTATAGGTAACGATATAAATGCAACAATGAGCAAAAGCTATACCATCTAGCTAGTTATAAAAGGCTTTGAATAATATAAAATAAATCAAACAAGGAATTTAATGGTTTTGGGCAACTGTTTTGAATTTAAAAAAAAAGCTTCAACAATGTTAATTTTTGTGTGCATTTATTTTTGCTAATTTTGAATAATGGACAAAGATGTGAGATTGATTATTGTGATTTAAGAAAAATCTGCATACATAAAATTGAAAATGGAAATGGGGAATATGTCAAAGAGACAACAACCCAACCAAAGAGCAGACAACAGCCGAAGGCCACTAACGGGTATTCAACAAGGCGAGAAAATCACGCAGCCGGAGGTAGTCTTCAGCTCATAAATATGTATTAGATATAAGAATGCAATACAGCTCTCAGTCGCATTAATAAAAACCTCACAATAAGTTCTGAAAATCAGAGTAAAAAGTATTGTAAGATTCTCAAAGTGTACACATGGAGTTATGAAACTTAAATTAATCATGCTAATTAAACATGTTAAAGATTGGCATACAACTTGGAGTAGCCTTATGGCATTGTATAGTGTAATGAATTCAGGGGATAATGGCACTACCTCTTTGATTTTAAAGTCCTCAGAATCAATCTTTAATATTAATATGCATACTCTTGTACAAAGGAATATAAGTATGCAATAGACATATGGTCTTCAAAAATAAGAGGTATCCATGCTATACATTTATGACAAGATCTTAAGTATTAATTTTGGTTTGTTTAAATATTTCAGAGGTTAGTATGACATCCTTTTTAATGATGATGTTTTCGTTTAAAGTTGGAAAAAATTGTTTGTACCAACAAAAATAGATACACAAAGTTTATCCAGAATTATGTGTGTATCATTTTTTTTATGTTTAGGTTGCCAGCAAGATGAAAAGAACAATGAAGTTCAAAAGTCAAAATGTTGATAAGCTGAGATACAAGGTCCTACTTTTGCAGATTTTCATATTTTGCATGAATGAATTTGAAGTTTATATCATGGAGGGCAGAGAAAGAAAAGAAACACTTCAATTTTCCTGCTTCTGAAGAATAAATGTAAAACATCTTGTTCGGTAAGTTTTATGCTCTGTTTTGATAGTGTTTGTGTATTCATCTGTCTTTCTCTAAATTGTATTCACTTAAAGTTTTTGGTTACAGTTCAACATGAATTTCAGTTAGTAACTTGTGGTTTAACATGTATATACTAAAAATTTAGTACTTTAAAATGTTCATGTATTTTTGTCGAGCCTGCAACTTTTGTCGCAGAAAGCTCCACATAGGGATAGTGATCCGGCGGTGGCATTAGCTAACTTCCTAAAAGCTTTATATTTTAGAAGGTGGAAGACCTGGATGCTTCATACTTTGTATATAGATGATACGAATTCTGTCTGTCACATGTCCATTGTCCATGACCTCATTTTCATGGTTCAGTGACTACTTGAAAAAAAAGTTCAGATTTTTTGTAATGTTAATTTCTCTCTTATTATGAGTAATAGGATAACTATATTTTGTTGTTTGGATGTACAAGTAACCCGCCACGTCCACTTGTATTTGTAGTATTTGTATTTTTATCTATCTGATGAGTTAAGCCTCTTTCAACTGATTTTTATACGACCGCAAAAAAATTTTTGTGGTCGTATATTGGTATGACGTTGTCGTCGTTGTCTGAAGACACATTAGTTTTCGCACTCTAACTTTAGTTTAAGTACATGGATCTCAATGAAATTTTACCATAAGGTTCAATACCACAAAAGGAAGGAGGGGATCGATTTTGGGGGTTATGGTACCAACAGTTAAGGAATTAGGGGCCAAAAAGGGGCCAAAAATAAGCATTTTTGTAACTTCCATACATAACTTGTGTGTAAGTGTATGGATCTCTCTGACATTGTACCACAAGGTTCCATATCACAAAGGGAATGCTGGGATTGATATTGGGGTAATTGCCTCCAAATTTTAGGAATTAGGGGCCAAAAAGGGGCAAAAAACAAGCATTTTTCTAGTTTCATGACAATAACTTGAGTGTTATTGTATGGATCTCTCAGACATTGTATCACAAGGTTCCATATCACAAAGGGAATGCTGGGATTGATTTTTGGGGTAATTGCCTCCAAATTTTAGGAATTAGGGGCCAAAAAGGGGCAAAAAACAAGCATTTTTCTGGTTTCATGACAATAACTTGAGTGTTAGTGTATGTATCTCTCTGACATTATATCACAAGGTTCCATATCACAAAGGGAATGCTGGGATTGATTTTGGGGGTAATTGCCTCCAAATTTTAGGAATTAGGGGCCAAAAAGGGGCAAAAAACAAGCATTTTTCTAGTTTCATGACAATAACTTGTGTGTAAGAGTATGGATCTTTATGAAATTGTACTACAAGGTTCCATATCACAAAGGGAAAGCTGGAATTGAGTTTGGGGGTAATTGACCAAAAAGCTTAGGAAGAATGGGCCAAAAAGGGGCCAAAAATAAGCATTTTTCTAGTTTCCAGACAATAACTTGTGTTCAAGTGTATGGATCTCTCTGAAATTGTACTTCAAGGTACCATACCACAAAGGGAAGGCTGGGATTGATTTTGGGGGTAATTCCCTCAAAAGTTTAGGAATTAGGGGCCATAAAAGGGCAAAAAAACAAGCATTTTTCTAGTTTCAGGACAATAACTTGTGTGTAAGTGTATGGATCTTTATGAAATTGTACTGCAAGGTTCCATATCACAAAGGGAAAGCTGGGTTTGAGTTTGTAATTGCCCTAAACGTTTAGGAATTTTGGGCCAAAAAGGGGCAAAAAAACTAGCATTTTTCTAGTTTCCAGACAATAACTTGTGTTCAAGTGTATGGATCTCTCTGAAATTGTACTGCAAGGTACCATACCACAAAGGGAAGGCTGGGATTGAGTTTGGGGCTGATGAATCGTAAGGGGGTTCAAAAAATTTGGGGGGGGGGGGGGGATTTTTTTTTCCTTTTTTTTCTTTAGAATTTTCCATTTTAAATTGGTTATTTCTGATTTATATATAAAAGCAAATAATAATGATATGGTTTGAATAGGTAAATTAAAAATTTTAAGTTCTTAGACCACTTTCATTCTGTGTCAGAAACCTATGCTGTGTCAAATATTAAATTACAATCCAAATTCAGTGCTGTATCAAGCTTGAATGTTGTGTCCATACTTGCCCCAACTGTTCAGGGTTCGACCTCTGCGGTCGTATCAAGCTGCGCCCCAGCGGAGCATTTTATTATAATTCGTTCTTATGTTGTACTGTTACACCACTGTCCCAGGTTAGGGGGAGGGTTGGGATCCCGCTAACATGTTTAATCCCGCCAAATTCTGTATGTATGTGCCTGTCCCAAGTCAGGGGCCTGTAATTCAGTGGTTGCCGTTTGTTTATGTGTTACATATTTGTTTTTCGTTCATTTTTTGTACATAAATTAGGCCGTTAGTTTTCTTGTTTGAATTGTTTTACATTGTCATTTCAGGGCCTTTTATAGCTGACTATGCGGTATGGGCTTTGCTCATTGTTGAAGGCCGTACAGTGACCTATAGTTGTTAATTTCTGTGTCATTTGGTCTTATGGAGAGTTGTCTCATTGGCAATCATACCACATCTTCTTTTTTATATTTTAGGTTAAGTTTTGGTTGTCAAGTCCATATCTCAGATACTATAAGCAATAGGTCTAGTATATTTGGTGTATGGAAGGACTGTAAAGTGTACATAACCAACTGGCAGGTGTCATCTGACCTTGACCTCATTTTCATGGTTCAGTGGTTATAGTTAATATTTTGTGTTTTGGTCTGTTTTTCTTATACTGTATGCAATAGGTCTACTATATTTGGTGTATGGAATGATTGTAAGGTGTACATGTCTAGCTGGCAGGTGTCATCTAACCTTGACCTTATTTTAATGGTTCAGTAGTCAAAGTTAATTTTTTGAGTTTTGGTCTTTCTTTCTAATACTAAATGCAATAGGTCAACTATATTTGGTGTATGGAAACATTTTATGATGTACATGTCAGTCTCACAGGTTTTATTTGACATTTTCACGGTTCATTGCTCAGTGTTAAGTTTTTGTGTTTTGGTCTGTTTTTCTTTATCTATAAGCAATAGGTCAACTATATGTGTTGTATGGAAGGATTGTAAGCTGTACATGTCTGCCTGGCATGATTCATCTGACCTTCACCTCATTTCCATGGTTCATTGGTCAATGTTTAGTTTTCTTGGTTAAATCTGCTTTTTAGAAACTATTAGCAATAGGTCAACTGTATTTAGTATATTGAATGATTGTAAGGTGTACATGTATTTCTTGTCGGGTTTATTTGACCTTGAATTCATTTTCTTGGATCATGTTGAGTATATGTGATAGTTGTAGTAAAGCTTTATATTTAGGACTGATTCAACATGATATCAATGATTAGTAAAGAAGGCGCAACATTTTAGCGTGTGCACTCTTGTTGATACATTATACACCACATTTACTGTTTTTACCCTGATTTTATGGATCACTGAACATAGAAATGTCATAATGTGAAATTATAGTACATTCTTAGGTTAAAGTTTTAGGTTAAGGTACATAGCTTACCATGAAGGTGAATTTCATACACATGTTCATTATGTGGTGAACTTTTAAATTCAGTGCCAAACTAAGATTTTGAGCCTGATTACATGATTGACTAGACATTGACACATGCTAGTGTTTGCCAGGCATGGTGTCCTGTACTATGAATTTGTCCTGTACTAAGAACTTTAAAAGTACTCGCTGAGTATGGAACTTTTGTGAAAATTTAATAATAGTGAGATTTTTGCATGACATCCTGTCAACTGCTTGTTGATCATGTTTATTAATGTCTTGAAATTAATATCTGACACATTGGTGTTTTGTGAACTTGGAAATAAGTTATTTGATAGAATAATAATGTTTTGAGATTATCAAAATAAAAAATATCCCATTTTTGTCGAGCCTGCGACTTTTGTCGCAGAAAGCTCGACATAGGGATAGTGATCCGGCGGCGGCAGCGGCGGCGTTAGCTAACTTCTTAAAAGCTTTATATTTTAGAAGGTGGAAGACCTGGATGCTTCATACTTTGTATATGGATGCCTCATGTTACGAAGTTTCCGTCAGTCACATGTCCAATGTCCTTGACCTCATTTTCATGGTTCAGTGACTACTTGAAAAAAAGTTAACATTTTTTATAATGTTAAATTCTCTCTTATTATAAGTAGTAGGATAACTATATTTGGTATGTGCGTACCTTGCAAGGTCCTCATGCCCGTCAGACAGTTTTCACTTGACCTCGACCTCATTTCATGGATCAGTGAACAAGGTTAAGTTTTGGTGGTCAAGTCCATATCTCAGATACTATAAGCAATAGGTCTAGTATATTCGGTGTATGGAAGGACTGTAAGGTGTACATGTCCAACTGGCAGGTGTCATCTGACCTTGACCTCATTTTCATGGTTCAGTGGTTATAGTTAAGTTTTTGTGTTTTGGTCTGTTTTTCTTATACTGTATGCAATAGGTCTACTATATTTGGTGTATGGAATGATTGTAAGGTGTACATGTCTAGCTGGCAGGTGTCATCTGACCTTGACCTCGTTTTCATGGTTCAGTGGTCAAAGTTAAGTTTTTGAGTTTTGGTCTTTTTTTCTAATACTATATGCAATAGGTCAACTATATTTGGTGTATGGAAATATTTTATGATCTATATGTCAGTCGCGCAGGTTTTATATGACCTTTACCTCATTTTCACGGTTCATTGCTCAGTGTTAAGTTTTTGTGTTTTGGTCTGTTTTTCTTAAACTATAAGCAATAGGTCAACTATATTTGTTATATGGAAGAATTGTTAACTGTACATGTCTGCCTGGCATGGTTCATCTGACCTTGACCTCATTTTCATGGTTCATTGGTCAATGTTTAGTTTTCTTGGTTAATGTTAAGTTTATGTGACAGTTGTAATTGAGCTTTATATTTAGGACTATCAACATAATATCAATGATAAGTAAGAAGGCGAGACATTTCAGTGTGTGCACTCTTGTCTAGTTACTATTAATAATTAAGTATTAACAAAAAGAAGATTTAGGATATATGTATAACCATATATAAAAATGAGACAGCAACCCAACAACACAAAAATAAGAAAAAAAACCCAATATAATTTTTTGTATCAATGTTATAATTTCCAACATGTCAAAAGAGTTCAAGGTATTTTCTCATTGAAATAAAACACAAGTGGAACTCTTTCAGAACTTCAGAAGCTTAAAGAAGTGCTGTTTCTATTGTTGGCGTTTTGTATAATATATTGCAAATTCTTGTGAAAAATGGAATGTTATTGTAATTGCCTAAAGTTTTAACATTGATCTATATATATATATATATATATATATAACTGGGGAAAATACCCAAATGTTATAAAGAAGAATACATAAATTGATTGTTATATAATATTAGAATAGGAAGATGTGGTATATTGCTAATTTGACAACTCTCCATCAGAGACCAAAGGATGTAGGAGGTTAGCAACTGATGACACTGGACAACCTTCAACAATCAGTAAAATCCATACCGCATAGCTACTTTTATTGAAAATCATATGTTATTGCTACATGTATGCAAACAATTTTTTGTAATGCATAACTTTGGATTTTATTGGTTCTTTTTCAGAAGGATTGAAATTCATCACTTAGAATAAAAGGAGAAAACACAGAAACAAGACCAGAATAAATTCAAAGACAAAAGTCAGATCAGTTATTATTTTCATCACTCAGTCAATGAATCGAAGTTCTATTAAATATCTAAAGATATTAAAACCACAATAATGACAATGTTCTGTGCTGAATGGCCAAAAAGTGGACTATATATTATATTACGATCACACAATGCTGGATGATAAGAAACTATTAATTTTTTGGATGGAGGGATATCCTGAAAAAAAATTAGATTTATGTTAAAAGCTACTAGTATGTTAAGCCTAATAATAGAGTTTCATTGATTCCAAATGGGAAAAAATTGTGTTTCAAAAAAAGTATTCTAGAATTCATAAATAAACATATATTGATACTTACATTATCTGCTTTGTTGTTTAAAAGTTTAGTTTTGAACAGTTATAGAACAATATAATTGCATTAACATTTCCAAGGAATAAAAGATATTCAACTAAAAAGATTCATCTTAAAAAAATTTACTACCAAACAGAATTCATTGTAACATACACATTACTGTATATTCATAATTTGAATCCCATAGGATCAATTGGTTTTTATTTTGTCCCATGGGATATTAAAAATCCCATGGGATAATTATAGTCCCATGGGATTTTTTTTGTCCCATGGGACAACAAATATCCCATGGGACTACAATTATCCCATGGGACCCAAAAAAATCCTATGGGATTTAACCAAAATCCCATGGGATAATGGTCAATCCCATGGGATTTGCCATATCCCATGGGATATTGAAAATCCCATGTTTTTCTAAATCAAATTACAAAATATATATAATAATAACAGCAGAAAAGCAATGAATTTATTGAATCCCATGTAATTCCGCACATTTTGGTTATATACACGACACTGTAGCTCTAAGGAGAGGCGGCGGC